GCAGATAGGCTTCTCATGAGTCTCCAGTTCTTGCTGGAAGGTAGAAAAGATAGTCTTGACAAAGATGAGATGGACATGCATGTGACAGAATATTTTTTTTTTGAAGGACAGCCAGATGGATAGGTATTGTAAGACTAACACAAATAGAGACCATTATCCAGGTAGTAAGCTGCAAATGATATTTAGTGATGTTTACTTTTTTCCTCTGTATTTTCAAATAAATGTTCTGCATGGAAGTACCTTTTGCAAGATGCCATTCCACCACTAAACCATGTCCCAGAAAAAAAAAAAAAATAATGACAGTGTTAGGTTAACGGTTAGACTTGATGATCTTAAAAGTCTTTTCCAACCTGAACAATTCTATGATTCTATGATGTCTAAGATGGCCTAGATTCAGTTTTGAAGATAAGAAAATAAGAAAGAGGATGGTCTTTGAGCCACACCAGTCCAAAACATGACCCTGGGCAGTATCTTTCCAATCAGACTTTCAGGATGTCACTGGGAGGAAGCTTAGGAAAAATTAGTCGGCATAAGCAAGGCAAAAGGGAACAAGAAGTATAAGGAGCTTGGCGACATTTGCTCCATGTGTTCCTGAGGGAGTGTGCCTTTGGGGAAGAGTGATACTACATAACAGAGAACTGCCTTAATCACCACACAGGGTAAATTCACAGTGTGTCAATTTGTCCACAGCATTCTGTGTAAAGCAGCAAATTTCTCCCCTCTCTGTGAAGTGTCATACACATGCATCAACCTCCTGCACAAGTAGGTGTTATTCTGTTCCTTGGCAACACGGGGATACAGTCTTACCACCTGATGCCTGTGGTTTTTTAGGTCTGTTTCAGTTTCACTGTTCTGGTCAGATCCACTCTACATCACAAAAAGAGAACAGAAATTTTGAAAAAGTACATCTGAAGTACACAATGGGGGAAAAAGCAAAATTCCAAGAGATTCCTGATGACTCAATAACAGAAAGACATACAATAATTTGTTCTCACATTTAGCTTTTATTAAACTTAGTAAATTACATCAAGAGGGAAAAAATCTTGGGGAAAGTACTGTGCCTCCAGTTTGTCTTCCTATCGTATCTAAAGTTAATAAGAAAAACAATTAATAGGAACTGGAGGGTGTGAAATCAGATTTAGAACGAAGCCACGGTATTGTGTACCAGCTTTCCCTGAACTGCAAGCAAGAAAATATTTCTAGCAGTGGCACTTTCAGTAGAAACATCACCAGACCACCTATTAAATATCAAGCTGTCTCTGGAGAACCACTCCTTGAAACAGAGGCATTTGAGAGCAGGAAACATGAAACTAAAATAGACCATCAGAAAAAGTGGTGCCGAAGGAAAATTTTTTCCCCTTGGATGAATAGAAATGCATTGGCTTAGAAATTCAGTGTTACTGTCTTTTTCCTTTACATAATATTTCTATTGCAAGAAGCTACCTGACTTATTAGTACTCGGTTGGTTTATACCACCAAAGAAGAGTTGTCAATAGAACATGCATGTTTTTCCACAGGTGGCTCTCATCCTGTGGACACTCGAGTCTATCCCCCCAGAACTGTATAACGTCAATAAAATCTTTCTGAGTGCTGTTTCTCTGCTGCACTGAGGTGACAATGTACCAACATCAGCAGCACCCTGAAAAAGGGAGTATACACCGGAGCATGAAGTACACCCCAGAACAAGAAGATCTTGTAGCTGCGCTGTAGCTATCAGAGGGTAGGAGGGAGGAAAATCTCCACCAGCTAAAAATCATTAGAGCAGTTGCTGTTCAAATGTGTGTCATAAGATGGGCTTGACAACTAATTCATGCTTATAGACTAAATGCATTAAGCCATAGGTATTTCAAAAAGAATTTTGTAAGATAGTTAATTCTGTTTACCTATTGCTTATTTTTTTTCAATTGAGGTCCAAACTATTAGCTTCTGAGTGTTACAACAACAGATGTCTAAAAAAGACAAGTACCTCCATTGTCATCTTGAGAAAGTTATTCATTCATGCTTCCTATAGCTAATATTTAAAAAAAAAAACCAAAGCAGACGTTAAATAAATACTGGGTTTAGTAACAGAATAGAAGTAGATACAATTATTTTGACATATGAGTCTTTGATTTTCACTGCAGTTAAATAGCTCTAGAAATAAGTAAGGATTGTTACCCAAGCCACAACTCTCAGAAGCTTGAGACAGTATCTCTGTGCTTGATTACGCACACTTAAGGATACACCAAAGATAGAAATGCACACAAAAGGACCATTGAATACTCATGTTTCTACTTAACAGAAAGCAAAAAGTACTTCAGTAAAGTAACTGATGACCCACAGAGATTACTCACAAAGCAGACACAATTCTTACAATCTTTTTTCCTGATCTTTAACAGAATTTGAATCTTCCCAACTTAGAAACAGCACGGTGTAAATAAGAATAAATTGAATTATTACACCTAGTCATACCCATCATATGACAATCCCTAAACTCACCAGAATCAAATTAACGGAAAATTGGATTCATCAGTCATTCTTAAGACTCTGTATATCACTATAGCACTATTGCACTGAGAAGAAGTGTGCAATGAAATCTCCGTATCAGCAGCAAAGATCTAACTGGAGTGTTAAAACCTCTAGTGATTAATCAGTTTGAAAAAAGTTAAATTAACCAGCTGTCAATAAAAATATTCTTTTGGGGTAATGCAAAACACCTTTGCAGAGTCTGCAACATTTGTGCAAATTCTTATGACATTTGACATGATAATCAGTTTCTGTGCTGAAGGTGTTTGACAAAACAGAACTCGAGTACTACAACATGCCTTGTAAGCCTTCTTGATGTTAATGACTGATGTATGAAGTAAGCGCAGTTCTTCTTCCTTTCTCTAGTTTTGTCTGGTTCGTATAAGAGGAACCAGCAGGACCACAAACTTATCAAATTCCACTGAGAACTACATAATTAATTATTACAATGTAAAATAAATTCTAATTCAAATTAGTAGTTTATCTGGGGTATTAAAATAGCAGAAGTTCCCAATAAAGTCTGAACACTAATAAGTTTTCTTTCTATACATCTAGAAAGCAGACAAAACAAAAAAGGAATGTGCTAGGATATACAAGTTAAAAAATTTAAGAAATTCTCTTTCTTAACCGGAGTTAAGAAAAAAAATGGACTATTTAAACTCTGTAGTTCACCAAAGCCACTTCACATAAATTAAAATTTGAATCAAAGTTACATTATATTAACCTGAAAGGAAATTTTCTTTAAAAATCACTCCAAACACAAGGCAGAGGCTGCATTCAATGAAATACACAAATAAAACCAGTTTAGACTGTCATGCATACATGAAATAAGAAGCACAGAAATGGAGACAGGTGAGAAATTCCATGAGTACAATAGGGATACAGCAACACAAGTTAAGGAAAGATATCAAGAGAGTATATATGTGCCTAGAGAAGGCAAATTATTTTGAAAGCACAAAACTGATAACACTGGAGAACACCCGAGACAAGAATTTTTCTGCACCTTCACCTATAGAAAGGCAAAAAAATTATTCAGTAACATTCCCTTTACATAAAAAAATTAAAATAGAATAAATTATTTTATATAAGAACATTCATTACTTTTTTTAACTTGGGCTAAGATGCTCTCAAACTAGTTTCTTTTCCTTCTGCAACAGGCATTTTTCAAGAAAAAACCCACTGATGATTAAACTGCTTCTTTTACAAAATGCCACTACAAATTAAGAGCAGTTATACCATATCACCCCCATTGCACTTGCAGCCTAGTCCTTTTTTAAAATTTTCTTTAAAATATTTTGGGTTTTACTTGTATCTGTGGTGAACAACATGAAAAACAGGTTGCCACTGTGTTATCCAGGTGCTGAGGCATGCTACAGTTCGCAGTCATTTTTAAGCCTGTTAAAAGCCCTCCTACTGTATACATACACCAGCAGATTTCATTAGACATGGCTTCTTTACTGAAGTGGAAAAATAGCTTATACATGAGCATCAAACAAGGAAATAAAATGATGTAAGATACTTAGTAAAAAAGAGTTCTTCAAAGATTTGAACAAGTGTAACAAGCAAATAAGGGAGGAGAAGAAATGAAAGAATGTAAATCCATGAATTTGAGAATTCTTGGGTGTCTGTCTCAAAGGCAAGCTTAAGTTTCTCTGCCTTCCCCTTAAGAAATTTTTTTTTCAGATTATTATTAATAGTGTGTATTACTACTTCTCTTCTAAATGACTTTGGCAAATGGAGTGCTAAGATGCAAAGTACACACTGAACAATATTTCAGGTTCTCGCCAATACTGGCAAAGTCTTTCCGCAGCCTGTTGTACACGCCATGTAAAAGCTGCTTAGCCCTGTTCTTTCACATCAAACAGATGTAGCATCTTCATATCAGTCAAGGACTTTTAATAATCAGTGGTCACACTTCACAAACTCTGCTAAAGATTCTGTATATATTTGTCTGTTGAAAATCTCGTAGATGTATGCTATGAATAGGGCTATTTCGTATGAGCAATTAAGCAGGTCTTCAGTCTGCAACTCCCTCTCAGTAGGTGAATTTAGCCCCAAGGTACTTCAGCGTGACAGGAAGCACACACTCAGAAGGGCATGATCTTTCTTAGGTTACAAGCGAATAGAGACAATTGCACATAATCCTTTCTTCTTCAAATCAGAGAAGAAATACATTATAATAGTTTTCTTGGGAGGTTTGTGAGTTATTTCATGGCTGCTGGCAGCTAACAGTAACTTTTAAAGAGATTTCTATGAGCACTTCTGGCTTTAGGTTTGGAAGGAGAAAATCTCATTGGTAGGAATAGTGGAATTCTCATAGAGCAGTCACCTCAGTAAACAGTTGTTTTAAGGCATATAACAGTGAAACAGAAAATAAAAAAGCTTTATAGAAGTGCTTTTATAACTGTGGGCTCATATATCAAACTGCAAAACGATGCAGCCATCATCAATAACTAACATTATACAATGTAATCAAAAATATATCATCACCCTCGGCCTCTCCAGTATGGCGGCGCCCAGCGGAGCGGCGAGCTGCAAGGACTTCGCCGAGTTCCAGGAGTTGCTCAGGGTGATGAGGACGATCGATGACAGAATCGTCCACAAGTTAAACACTACGATTCCAACAGCTTCCTTTGTGGGGAAAATTGATGCCAGCCAGACGTGTAAAGAGCTGTACCATTCTCTGATGGATGCTCACACCAGCAGAGAGAGAATCATCAAAAACTGTATCGCTCAGACTTCCAGTGTAGTGAAAACTCTCAGAGAAGAGAGGGAAAAGGCCCAGGATGACTTAGCATTATTAAAGCAACTCAGGAAAGAGCAGACAAAGTTGAAACTGATGCAGTCGGAGCTGAATGTTGAAGAAGTGGTAAACGACAGAAGCTGGAAGGTATTTAATGAGCGTTGCCGAATTCACTACAAGCCTCCGAAGAGTCAATGATGCGGGGTATCTTCCATCAAGGTGGTCCATAACCATGAGAGCCAAACTGGAAAGAGACCTTGGGTGAGCTGCATTGGGACCCTCCAGAACCAGTAGAACCCAGTCTTGTTTTGTTTTGGACCTACTTAGCTGAAATCTCAAGGTTGAAATGATTCTCCTGTAATTAAGAGAAAACAATTCATCTTTTGTACAAAATATGTGAACAAATGAGTTTTATAGTATTAAAATAATTTTCAAATGGAATGCGAAACTGGCATCTTTCTTGAACTCTTGCAGCTTCAGCAGTCTTAGAGGGGAAGAAATAGTAAAAACCAGTTCTGAGCAGGGAGGACAGGGCTCTCCGTGAATTGGTGCTTGGCAAACTATGAGTGAACATGGTGTGTTTGTGTGAATAATCTACTAAAACCTGAAAGGAAATAAAAACTGCACAATGATTAGCAAGTGTAGGTTCAGCATCCCTGAAAGTAAGAGCTACCAGCATTGTTCTGAACTACTTGACACGTAGCAGCATTGGTTCAGAGTTCTCATTTGAATATAAGGCCAAACAAGTAGATCTATACAAACCTGCATAGGAAAAACTCCTGACATCACAAGAAGACTTCTGAGTCCCAAACATCCCTTCTTCAGGTGTTTGCCGCTTGTATACAGAGGGTTGCACTAAGAAGTTGAATTACTCTCTTTAGCTTGCTTTGAGCAGAGAGGGCTCTTACAGTACGTGGCAAATCACGTGGATTGCAGGATGTTTGAATCGTGCCGTTGAAGTTAGTGGAACATTAAGGTGAGTAACTGGAATTGCCTGCCATGCTTTGGGGCACAGGGAAGGAGAAAAAGGCTTTGCTATTTTTTGAGTACTTAAGACCTGCCTCTGAAGTGAGATGTTTTGTGATGGTATGTAAATGGCATTGGTATGAGCTGTGGGCCAAGGCAGGTAAAATCTCTGTCTCTAGTGACCCCGGTGCGTTATAGGATCACGCCTAGTCTGCAGTTGAATCCTGCTTCAACTTTACCGTCAAGGTGGTCTACAGAATTACTGAGCGGCTTGATGTCACACGTGAATCATACAGTGGACGCCACAAATACCAGGATTTCATCCTTTTCCTGGTTCTAACTCTATTTCTGCGAGTAAAGACACTTGAAGAGAAAGCACAACTGATGCCCCTGCCCAGTGTCTCGATCTCCTGCAGGCAGTTTCCCCCTCTGCTGGGACTTTCCTCTTATTTGGAAATGGTGAATATAGCTGGGCAGCTCCCGGTTCCTTGGAAAGCTCTCTCAAGTGTGTGCTTCCTTCTTCCTTCTTCCTTCCGTGGAATAGAAAGAGGTGGGGTTTTTTCTGACACTCATTGCTGTTGTCTTCTGCAGCCTGTACACACTCAAGATGTATGAAATAGGTAATCGCTCTACAGAAGTTTTTTTAAGGATAGAATTTGGTTGTCTTGAAACAGGCTGAGGGGAAGAGGCTCTTTACTGGTACCATAGGCTCAGCCTAGGCAGGGATATGATAACTTTGTCCTGCAAGTGTGCAAGTGTGACTCAGCTTTAAAACTAGTTCAAGATGTTACTCAGCTTTAAAACTATGAAGAGCAGTAGTGCCGTTCTCCCAGCACAGATTCTCCAAGGTAACAGCAGTACAGTTACGTGAAGAGAAATTGCTGTCTGTGCAAATGGTGAGTGTAGGCAGGAATGGTATATGGTATCAAACATGTCTCCAGTGCTAAAGGGGTGACACTCACTAGGTTGTTGATGTTGTGCGAGAGATGCAATGGGGACGGCTGTTCTTTTCAAGGCAACGTTCCAAATGCCGTTTCATTACATCCAAAGCTTAACAGAGGGAGGTGCAGGTGAGGGTTGCCTAGGGTAGTCCGTTGCCGGCGATCATCTTTGACATCAGGTCTGTGAAACATCAGCGTTTCAAAGCAACTTCATCAACTATGTGTGCAGGATGAGTACTGCATCCCAATCTGAGAAATAGCACTGGATTTTGGGACGCCCTTACAACTCCCACAAAAAACCACCCAGACTGATTGGCCTGTGTCAACTTTAGCGTCAGCTTCCTGACAATTAGTGTTGATTTTCCTCCCCTTCTGCACAACTCCGTGCCTTCTGGGGGAAAAAACCCCAAACCATTCTTACGCTTTAAAGTCAAAGACCAGCAAACCCAGAATATAGGGAGTCCAATGAGTGTTTTCCACACAACATTAACGCCTGTATTTCTTAGGAACCAGAATCAGGGGTTCTCCAGAGGGGTGGTGCTGCCTTGGGGACCTTATCAACATCTCTTCCCAAGGGAAGTTAGTGAGATCTGCATCATGGTGAGTGGAGTTTATAAAATGTCCTGGTTTAGCACTGGTGCTGCATGGTTGTTGGACGCATTGTGTGGCTTCTGGCCTCCTCGGTAAGGTGAGCTGGCTCTTCCAGTTAGTTAGCTCATCTGTCCTGCTGTGCAAATAAGATGCCTGGCAACGGCTTGGTGGAAGGTGACAGCGGTTGAGAGAATCAGCAGGGTCTTGTGCAAAAGAAGGAGTTTGAGTTCATCAGCTTGAATTGTCGTTACCTCCACGAATTGGGCTGTGAGGAAGTCCTCATCTGGAGTGGTGAATTTGGAGAAAATGGTAGGCTTCCAGCTTTAACTCCTCCCATTCCCTTTCCTCCACTCCCGCCTTTCACCCACTCCCATAACACTGCCGCTCAAGTCTGGGAAATTCGGCAACATCCTTGTCGGTAACATGCTCTTACCTTGATCGATCTACCGCTGCGTTTAGGGCCCTTAGAGCCCCAGTTTCTCAATCTCAGGTCCTTTGTCCCAAGAACAGGCCTTGAAGTTAGATATGAAGTAGAAGTTAGATATGAAGTACTTGTTTGCCATCTGTTGCATCACCCATCATCTGTGAGGTGGGTGTTGCATCCCGCCAGAGAAGGAGGGAGAAGTAATTCAGATTTGCTGATTCTCTTGGTTGGAATAGGATATACGCAACACCCAAAGTCCGTGGGTAAGGACAGACTTTTATTCCACAGCTAGGCTCATTGGTAAATAATTGGGTAGCAGAAATGCTTAGTGCTTGTATGCCTTACGTTGATTACTACAGTCAAAAAAAAGTAAGAGAGTAAAGAGACGGATGGAGAGGAGGTGGGGGGGAGAGAGGTCAATGGTCCGGGTTTCAGCGTTGGTCCAGCCAACGGGGGTCTCTGGTCTGTAGGAGTGCTTGTCCAGAAATCCCACCCAATGGCACTTGCCCTCCCCGTTTTATGTCTGCTCTCCTGTGGACTGCCGCTCTGCCACGGTGGCAGTTGCGTTTCAGGGCTGAGCTGAGAGGATTTTGCTTCAGGGTCTTTCTTTGCGTCTTGCAAGTGTTTGAGGCATTCCTTGGCAAGGCTCAGGTAATCTCGATGCCCCTGTCCCCTTAACCTGAGTTTTGTCTCTGGCCGTTCCTCAGTAAGGCTTATGGCATCTCCACACCCTGTTCCATTATCTGAGCTTCATCTCTTGCCCTTGCTCACACCCTTCTGATCAAACAGTTCTTTGTTCCAGGGGGTTACAAGTTGGCCTTGGTGTTAGATTTTCTGTTCTTCCAGTTGGTCTCCCACAGAGGGTCAGTGGGCTGGTGAGGACACCGATAAGTCTGTGCTACGCAGTCACCATTGCTGTGGCCATGAGCAGGCTTGTTTCTAGCAGAGATGCCCATTGCCCGTGTGCAGCACATGCTCTCATTTCACCCCGTCCCATGTACCCACCCCTAGGGACTAAAAATTGTCTGGTCTGTTGCCACTTCTTTGGTCCTAGCTCTGGCACAACATTCCTCCCATTTGCTGGCGAGGGGGATGGCAGGAATGGTGGGGG